GTAGTGAGTACGTGAAATAAAATAGAGCATACTTTATGTACGTATCATATCAACTCCTATCTAATCTTAGAATAATCTCTAGTCACACGAGGCGGTACACAGATCTTAGATCAATCATCGAATAATCACGAAGCTTTAGAGTAATACATAAAAAAGTCTGTGAGAAGGGTGGAAATCTGCAGAAACCCTCTAGCTATCAAAGAATAAAAGTGCAGAGATGCACTGACTCGGAAAAACTCAACATAAAGCGTATAGAGTTTACCTTCGTTACTCTCCCACAAATGACTTTTGAAGGTAAAACTTGATACCTTCTATCACCATTGATGCTGATAGATTGTGTGGTTAGAACCACCTCTGAAATATGGTAGTTGAAGGAAGCATTATAATAGTAGTCAGTGTGGTCATAGTCGAGTACACAGACTTTCATTGTTTGAATCCGAAAAGACATTAAGGAGTTGAGTTAAAAAGTATAGAAACTACCAACAGTTGTTTCATAGATTGATTTTTTACTTGTGGGGAAGAATGCTAGTTTCGAATGTTAAACTAATCAAGTTATATGTTATTTTTAAAATATTACATCATTCTGAAGAACTATGTAACGTTTTGTTAAAGAAACAGTCTTCTATCCTTGTAAAATAATTTTCTACGAATGGATGCCTCTGAAGAAATGAAGAATAAGGGCTTATTCTGATTGATTTGTGTAACTACAAAAGAAAATAAATGAAATCTGCCAATGACTTCAAGATCTGTTTTACTCATATAATCAAAATATTTTATATTTAATTATTGAAAGTTATAAGACATCCTTCTCAATTGAACAAATTTTATCCTTTTTCGAAAAACTACAAATTAAAATGTCCTTCGAATTCAGAAGCATTTTCGATAAAAATTTATATGACATAATTCTTAGAATATGAAAAACAGACAAAAGTAGTCATCATGTCCTTGATAGGACATGTAGGATAGCACATGGTGCGTTTTTATGTGTGTAAACAAATTTGTCAATTAATTATAGTCGCACATATATAAAGTATATGTCCTCTTTCACATTTAAGTATAAGTATAAGTAGGCAATAATGGAACTTTAGCACATATTTAAATCGAATACAAAACTGTATTTTATGTTAGTTGTCCTTTCTTGTTAGTTGTTCTGATAAACTGCAAATATCCTGTTTATCCTTTTTGCAGAAGTTTTAGTTCTGAAGAATAATTCACGCGAATTTCAGAATGTTCGTTTTACTGAGAAACTCATTCAAAGAACTTCAAAAAAGTAAAGTAAATAAACCTAAAAACGGAAGTGCATCTTTCAAGGCGTGGGAACTCCTGAAAAACTCTTCGTTTACTGTGCAATATCCCAACAACAACCGAAACACAACCCATAACAAAACAAACAAACAAAGTCGCAGCTTCTTCCGTTTTCTGTAGTTCCGGACTCAGAGAAGCCGCGCGCATAATTTTTTCTTCCCCGAGAATAAAAATCTATTTTTCGTATTAAAATTTAAATACATTTTTTATTTTAATTAATTTTAAACATTTAAATTAAGAATTACAACGCCTTCATAATCAAAATCGTGTTTCACACGAATATTCGAAAATTTACTTCGAAAAATCGTTGTTGCTGCGCGTATCCTATCGAGTTTGCACCTTGAGCGAAAGCGTTTCATGGTCGCTCGAGTACTACGATGGCTACTATTTCCGGTTTATGCTGCGCTTCTCATAAGGACTTGACTGTACTGAGGCTGCTTGAACATTATCCATTTTATACTTCATTTTATTTTTCTTTTTCTGCATATTTTTTTGCAAATTCGATTTGTTTTCTTCCTTCATTTTTTTTTTTTATTTTTTCTCTTAAGTACAGCAGGTTGTTTTTATTTTTGCGGTCATTTCCGTTTTTATTTGCTTTTACAATTTTTTCTTGTTTTTATCTTTTCTGCAGAAAAGTATAAAAACAATGCGATCATTTTAATATTGAATATTAATAAGGATATTTAAGGACGACTTCGCAAATAAGAGGACTACTATTGATTTCCTCAATATTGGCAGTCATTAGTAAAAAATAAAAATTAAAATATGTTTATTATTTCTATTACGGTTTATATTAAAATATGTTTATTAAAGGATATTTTTTAATATTAGTTTTAATGGTTAAGTGTATATATGCATTCCTTTCTCCTGATACTAGTCGAAGCTATTCGAATTCGAATTACATACAATTTAACGAATATACCCATTCTTTTTATGTTGCTTATCAGGAACGGATCCAGCAAATGAAATTATATTACACGTCGCACTGAAGTTCATTTCAGTTCAATTACCTTTTAAATTATGATTTTCGCTTAATGAATTCTTGAGTTACTAGCCAATAAATTCAATAATTTTCAGAATTTTTACAATAAACCTCTTCACCTCTTCCTCCCCAGTGACTATTCAATTCATGCTGCTAATGGGCTCTGAAACACCAATAATTTTCTTTAAAACAATATAAAATACAAGCCAATTTAAAAATAAAATCTATCTCGAATCTATCTTTCAAAACCTTGTTATCGCCACCCAATGAAGTAATAGGTTATTTGTATTCAAATTAGCATATACTGGAGTACTATTAAACAAATTGCAACATCAAGGCGTTCAAAATTAATAGGTTGTGTAGCTTTGTACCTGTGTTTAGAGCCCGACCTAAGTTTATCCAGAACGCTTTCTGCAGTTTTGCTTAGTGGTACAAGGATGATCGGTAGAATCAAAGGGATGAAGAAAAAATAAATAATAATTTTAATTGACTTTTATTCATATATTTAATGAACTAGTACTATTTATAGCAGATAATATAACAATAAGCATGTTTTCCTTTATTAACTTGACTGATTTAATTCATATTTACGTCAATTTCTAGACTTACGTTATTACGGTTTTTATATCATTAAGCTTTGTTTTTACTTCCATTACTTTTCTTTATTACTTCAATAACTACGTGTATATAATTTTTTCAACATTGAAGATTTTATTTAGGCCGTGTGCGAGATCGAGAAAATTGAGGTATATATATATGGTGGGACGTTGGGACAGCGCACTGTCCAACAAGTGGCCCCACTGAAGTGGAGGATTAGTCGAAATAGACCACGAAAGGACTTGGTTCCTTTTTCGTCCTGCGATTCTCGGATGTTGTTATTGAGTGAAAGCTGGAATGGCTTCCGTTCGCATAACTACATCTTTTGTTAATACAAGCAGCTCATTTAGCTTGAAGTTTCCTGCCAAGTCGTCACCAACCCAATGGTGTCCCAAGACAGTCTTCCTCCTACTTGCCAGTGCTGGACATTGGCACAATATATGCACCGCTGTCTGCTTTTCTTCAAGACATAGTCTGCAAGTGTTTTCCTCAGCAAGAGTTATCTTTTTGAGGTGATACTTGAAGTTGTCATGTGAAAATTGAAATAAAGTAAATTGAAATTATTTAGGAATTTTTTGCACTTCACTTATGTAAATATATTTTTATTTATTTATTACATTTATTTATTATTTTTGGTTAAAAGTTTTTAAATTTATTTAATTATTTATTAAACATCTTACAAAATTTTGCAATGGTAATATCTAATTTACTAATTTTTATCTAATTTAACCTACTCGAAATTCTGGTAAATATCAACATTCGCTGGCATAAAGACATAATATACTATTTCCCCCAATTTACCATTAATTTACTCAAACTCGCACATGGCCTTAGTCATTAAATATGGGAGTGCTTTATTTTCTAATGATTTTTTATATGATCGAGTATATATACATATATATATCCAAAACATTCTAAATGATCTCTGTATACCAACTCATAATATGTAGTCCTTCAATATTCTAAATTTTAAAAACGGCTCAGTCTGGCAGCATTGCAACTACACAAAATTGCATTTCTTTAACTCAAAAAAAAAACACCAGAAAAAAACCACCACCAAAAACATATGCAATACACCGGCTTTTCATTTTTGTTACCACTTCTTATTTCTTTCCACAATTTATTTTAACTCAACAATTTTGTGTTTGGATTGCATTCATACATGACAAAAACTTCCCTATCACCACACAGCACTCATGGCGCAAACAAAATGAATACAATCCACAAGAGAGTAGCCACACACACAGCCACACAACCAAACAAATCAAACAAGCAGCGGAGAAAACATCTGCCGAAGTTCATTGCGGACTGAGTATAAACAAAACAAAAGTACGAAGCGTACAACTACAGTTTACTCTATGTTGCCTTGTCTATTCAGGCATTCAATTCATGTTTATGTTCCTCATTTCGTACTTGTCGATCGCCGAAGGAAATTCGTACCGCAGTTTGAAATTGTTGTTTGCGTGGTAGACGTCGTCGGGTCGTTAGCCATTGCTTGATATATGAACTGAAGGTACTAATTTAGAAATACAAACGAAATTGCATTCCATTCATTTTATAAAAAGAAAATGCAAATGAATAAGTGAAAAATATAATTTTTTATTATATTATCGATATTATTATTATTATCGATAACAAGCAAAAACGAATTTATTATTGATTAGTGTTCAATATATAAAAACTTAAAAATATAATTTAAACGTTTTCGAATTGATTCAAAGTGTGTGCCAATTGTTGAACTATAAAAATATGCAAAGAACCGTTACGAAAATTCAAACATCATAAAAGTCAAAAACATGTGCTGCAGCCTCTGCTTCACACAGGAGTAACGTTAATTTTCGTAAAATTTCGTAAAAGTTTAATTAAACTTAAAAATGCAGTAAATGCTGCGTGCATACAGAGCAGCAAAATGCAAAATGCAAAATAAGAATATATAAAAACATAAATATATAAAATATAAAGGAATTATTTTTCGTTTTCGCCGGAGAAGGAAATTTACGAAAATTTCAACGCAATGTTAAGTTAGCGAAAGAAAAATTATTTTAATCACAAAATTTTATGTATGAAATAAAAACTTCATTTCCCTTTAATGTTTAGCATTTTTAATAAGAAAACACAATTTGCATGTTGGATATTAATTGATAAATATTTACATTGTTTTATCACAAATTGTTAAAGTGTATAGAAGCAAAAACATTTGTACTACTTTTTTTCTAATGCCACGAAACAAAAAGGTAGTTTCTTCTTTGCTGCTGTAATTTTAAAAACAACAACAAAACACAGAACAAAGCGTTTTGGTTGTTCAGTTAAGCATCAAACGCACAACAACAACAAAAACAAAAACAACCACAGGATTACACTTAGCAAATTTTTCGGATAAGTCAAACAAAACAAATTCTTCTTCTTAGCTTCTTCACCCAGCGAACATGAATTGGATTAAAATTGCACTAACCGCGTTTTTAACGCTCAGCATAATTACAAAGGAGGTAAGTCGAGTTTCGAGAGATTATTCTATTCATAATGTTTTGATTTATAAGAAAAATGCCTGTTAGGGTTTATGATAAGCACAGAACGTGAACATACTTTTATAAAGTTAATAGAAATATAAAAAACTTTTATATACATATATATGTAGAGTTGGCTTCAAACTTTTTTATAATTTACTTTAAAATAGATATAATCACAATCATAATAATCGCCTGCTTTAATGAAACCTTTGAGATGAGGAAGATCCTTTAAGAATAAATAAGACCCTTTTATGTCTGCAAAAAATAGATCCGTTTAAATATTTTCATATTTTCAATAAACATTTTCATATTTAATTAAGATACAGAAACTAAGTTTCTTTTGATTGTATTAAAATTCTATAACTATTCTGTTATTATCTATTCTAAAAACAAAGAAAATTATATTTTTAATTATCCACTGATCTTTTTAATCATGAATTAAATGTAATGTTTTTATAGTATTTTTTTATTATTAATTTTTTTTATGGAATATAGAACTGTAACATTTAGTCAACTAAACCAATTAAAACGTTTAAATATAAAAAAAAATTATCTTTTTTAACGCAAAATATAGTCATAACCTGAAGTAGCGATTTCGAGATACAAAATAGTTCTCTTTTGTTAATTAATAATTTTATTTGTAATCTGTAATAATTCTTACAGATTTATCATTGCATCGAAGTTAGTACTCAATAAACACAGGTTTATAATGACGATAGAATAATAATAATACAGAAAACATAAGATATATTTATTTATTTATCCACCATTAAACTAAATCGGTCATGTTTACTAAAAATATATATGTTATCTGACAAAATTAACCAAAGCACAATATAATCTCATATAAAAATCGTGTATCTATGACAAAACCCCATAAACTTTTTTGCTAAAATCTAAGGAGAATATAAGATTTTATTTTTTTACTACATGAAATAGTCATTTATATGTTATAATTAATTAATTTTGCCAAAACAGTATATTTTACTCAAAAAAGCAATAACATTTAATACTTTTCATATAAAACTAATAATTAGTTTAATTATATATTTTTTGTATTAAATTGGTGATTCTCTATTCCAAAAAGAGAGCCCTAAGCAAATTACTAATTGATCAATGAAACCTATTATTATAAATAATCTTTATTAATATTAAATATGACATACAATATGTTGCTTCATATAAACTAAATATTTAACCAGCTTTAATTAAAAATTAAAAGCTTAACGAATTTGAAACTGTAATATTTCTAATAAGAAAATTTACAAAAAATGTATAAAAATTAATTACAAAGTAATATCTATATATGTATATATTCACATTAATGAACATACTAGTAAAGTGAAGTATATGAGGTTCATACAGCGTACTTATAATATAATTTACAACACTAATTGAGTTTTGATACTTATCTGAACTATCAGTTTAATTAAGTAATTAACAACCCTATAAGGTTAAAAAGCTTATAAAAAGAATTGCTATAAAAACAAAACGTCAATAGTTGCAATTAAAACAAAAAATATATTATAAAATTAAATCATTTTTTCCTAATATTTTCCCAGTAATTCCAATGTCACATGATGTGGCCTGGTATGCATTGAATTACACTAAATTAAGTTCAGAGTTCACAAAATGAGATTAACGATTTTTTGATGAGATATTATTTTTAAATATGTGTAATTACCTTTACTTTGAGAAAAGTTTTTATACAAATATTATTTAATTAATTTTTCTGAAGAATTGTTTTCATTTTAATACTTCAATATTTATATTATATGGAAAGTGTATATTAAATTTATCAAAACGTTTTTATTGTAGCCGAAAAAGTGTAGTGTCGAGTTAAATAAAAAAAATTGTTAATTTTTTTATATTAATTATTACTAAAATAGTTTTTTATCAAATCTAATAATATTTTTCACATAAAGTTTGAGACTCCACACAGATGAAAGAATGGATATAATAATAACAATTAACTTCATATTAACTTCATACATGCTTTAATTAACATTCGAAAATTTGTATATATTGCGAATATTTTCAAGGATATTGAAGTTTTATCAAAGTAAATTTTTTTAATTTATTTGAAAAATATTTTTCAAATATTATTTTTATTTATTTTAAAAATATTTTTTCATTTCCTTACCCATTTGTTTAAAATTTTATATAAAATATTTGATTTCAAAAGCTATTTTTTGAACATTTATTTTACAATGATTTAAAGGGCACTTCTCTTGTCTACTCCAGCACATGCCCTCCTAAACTAAATATGGACAACTGTTAAGAATATAGGTCCTCAAATGTGAAATACTGTATTAAATATAATTTCTTTTTCTATTATAATTTGTTGGAATATAACCACTATAGAACAGGAAAGTCATAAATTTAAAATAATAATGACCGGATAAAAAGGGTTGAAAATTTTAATCGTGGATATAGTCAAAGCACATACAGTCAAAATTCAAACGGTAGACTTGGATGAATAGGCAATGCTAATATTGGTTACATTATGGTTAAAAATTCAAAGCCAAAATTGTTAATTCAATTTTACAACGCTCATGATAATAAATGGCTTTGTGTACTGCCTAAACAATACAATTAACAATATTAAAGCAAAATGAAAAATATATGAAACATTTGTTAATTTTACCACCATCAACGTAGCAAATTTGCTACTTTTTATCATCTCTGGCTCTCGTGCAAGCATTGCGGGTTCAGCTATGCCAGCTTTAGCCCATCAAAAAGATGCACAGAAAAACGACAATCATAACATCTGCTGCTGTTGCTTGATACAAGCACAAAGCGAGCATGAAAGCTGCTATCTGCAACTCTTCCTTGTGATTACATTTTTTCTGCTCCAAGTCCAAGTTAAGGCTCAGCGCCAACTAAGTGTAATTCAGCTCAGCGTAGGTCAACGTGCGCCATAACTCCTGTGCTTATAATTTTTTTTTTGTGAATTTTATTTTTGGTGCCTTTACTTTAGCTTGTCAGTCACTTTAGTGTGTTGCAAGGAGAAAAAAAGTAAATTCGTTTTTTTTCTGTATGTGTGTGTGCGTGTGTGTGTTGTGCAGCTCTTTTTTTAGTTTTTCTGTTTTGAATATTGCATATTGCATGTGTTATTATTAATTTAATTTTTTTCAATATATTTTTAATGTTGTTTTTTTTAAGTAACTAATACAGTTTAACTTAAACATTTATTTTTGGATACAATATTGTTTAATAGCTAAAAAGCATTAAAAATGCACCGGTGGCAGCTCTTAACTACTGACAGGCTTTTTTTCGCCATTTTACTTTTCCTCATTTTGTTTTCATGTTTATTTTATTGCCTCTTTTCGCTTTAGCCGCGCTTGCTGTCACAATTATTGAGATGCCTGCGCAATGTTGCTAATTTTGTCGTTTTTAAAATTAAACTTGCACTTATAGTTTTTATGAAATTCTCAGTTTTTTCTACAAGTGTATAAGGAAATCGGCACTGTCTTCTGTTGCTCGAAATATCTCCTGCAGTTTTAGCGGCAGCTGGAATGTTTTTTGTGCTAATTTGCATCTTCTGCGTATGTGCAGACTTGTTAAAGAAAAGTGTTTAACATTTTAACATATGTTTTCATTACAAAAAAAAAAGACTAATTAAAAAATAATATACCAAAAGTTCAATATTCACTCCTTGGAAATAAATTGTACAACACATGCTAACCTAAAAGGTTCCATGATTATTTTTTATAACTGCTAAATAATCAAAGTTATTTATATTAATTCTATTATAATAAAATAATATAGAGATTATGTAGTCTATAATTGAGATAAAATTGAATGATAATATACGTTGAAAGATTAGAAAAGAAATGAAATTAGACTGTGATCATGGCAGCGAGGTAAACACAAAAACGTGCGCAGTGCAATCAAAATCTACTACTTTTTAAAGACTAAACCCAGAAGGAAAAAGTGGGTGCTAACTGAAATAAAAGCTAATAATAATGCGTTAAAACCTAAAATATATTACGTTTTACATGTTAAGTTGTTATATGCAATTCTACTTCCATTTGAATAGGATGAAGGGCTGAAATGCGCTTTGGTGTAAAAGGCTGCCATTCCAACTCATATCACTTATAATTGTTTAATATACATCTGATATATATATTTTTATTCTGACTTGATAATAAAAAGTAAAATTTTGTTTTATTATTATAACACAAACTATACTGAAATTTATAAAAGCTTTAATCAAAGTTTAGAGTTAGTTGTGTATCTCTAAACTATTTTTATTTGAGACTGTTTTATTTATCACATCTCTGTTTAATAATCATCGAACTAAAATTTATAATATCCCATCTTAATTTTCAATAAAGCATGTCCTTCTTATTAGATACAAGTCTTTATATTTACTAGTTTATATTTGTATTATGGTGAAAAGAAATAAAATTTATTGCATTTACAATAGCATACATCATATTTTCTAGCTTATTTGTTATACATTTTTTAATTATTTAATATTAATTAATATATATTACCATAATATAATTAAAATTAACTTCTTTGTACGCATAATATTGGTTTAACTACGCCACTGTGTCTTAGCACCCAAGTGCCGTTTGTTGGTGTTACGTCTCATTTTCAACACAGACTTCATACTGTGCTAATTTGAAGCGACTCTAATGTTATTTATTATATTTTTATTATGATAATCATCATCATTAATATGTAATAAAGCTTGTACGTAGTTGTACTTTGTGGCTAAAACAAGCATGTACAGTACAAAATGTTAAGGTGCTACAACTTCGGTTATACTCTATTAAATATAGAAACGCAGCTACGATGTGCTGGTAAAAATAATAGAAATAAAACAAAAACAATTTATTTTGTTTAGAAATTCTTTTGATTTATTTTTTTATTTAGTGAATTTCAAGTGTAATTTCGCCAGTGTTGTCAACGTTTCATAATTTCACCGCACACACGCCACTTACGGTTAAAACATGCGAAGAAGGCGT